TGCCTGGGAAAAGAGACCAACCCCCCCCTGACTCCCCCCTCCTGTCAGGGAGTTGCAGAGAGTGAGGAGGTCTCCCCTGAGCCTCCTCTTCTCCAGGCTGAACAGCCCCAGCTCCCTCAGCCTCTCCTCACAGCACTTGTGCTCCAGTCCCTTCCCCAGCCTCGTTGCTCTTCTCTGGACCTGCTCCAGCCCCTCCATGTCCTTCCTGAGCTGAGGGGCCCAGAACTGGACACAGCACTCCAGGGGTGGCCTCACCAGTGCTGAGTCCAGGGCAAGAATCACTTCCTTGGACCTGTTGGCCACACTGTTCCTGCTCCAGGCCAGGATCCATTGGCCTTCTCGGCCACCTGGGCACACTCTGGCTCCTGTTCAGCTTCCTGTCCATCCAAACTCCCAGGTCCCTTCCTGCCTGGCTGCTCTCCAGCCCCTCTGTCCCCAGCCTGTAGCGCTGCCTTGGGTGGCACTTGGGAAAGCCAAGGTGCTTTTTAGGTGTGCTGGACTGTAAAAAGTTGCAGCTGGTTTGTGTGTGTGGTGGAGAGAGAGAGGTTCTGTGTGTAAATGTGCCTTATGGACAAAGGAGCCCTTACTGGACCAGTTTAACAACCCAGTGCAGAAAACACCTCTGGGTTTTTCTGAACATCAACACTGAAAAAAAAACCCCTTAGTCTTTGTATTATTGTGCCTCAGTTTCCCTGCCAGAAAAGGGAGGAAAGCCAAATGCACTTCCCAAGGAAAAAGAAGGGCATGGTTAATTAAGGCAGCTTTGTGAGCTGCTTTGACAGCTGCAGGGATAAGGAGTCACTATTATAGCAGCCAATAGTTCAGAATTACGCTTTGTGTGCCTTTGCTTCTCTTCTTCATGTGGTTGCCAGAGGTAACCGAGCAATTTTAGGTCATTTTATTACTTTTTAATACCCAGCTCAGTGTTGGGTTTCTGCCTTCACGTAGCACACACGTGTGTGTTGGTGTCAAAGCCCCTCAGCTCCCAAAGAAATGCCGAAAAAAGCCCCGACCACTGTTCCAGCAGGGAGAAAAAGCAATGGGAAAAATGCAGCCAGGCCTCTCTGAGCAATGCCTGGTGATCACTCCACGCCTCAGCTGTGGTAACATGAGATTATTTAATGCTGAGGTTCATTAATTGAAGACATGACTGGGCTTTGCTGTAGTCAGCTCGTGTCACCTGAGCATCCCCAGCACTTGCCAGGCCTGGATTCATCCCTGGATACTCACAGTCTCACAGGGCAGCCAGTGTTTAGCAGTTCAGCAATGGGGAAGTCGAGGCTCAGAGATGATTTCCACGTTGGGCTGCTCATTGCTCCAGTCATCATCCATCTCTTTTGTTACAGGAGCAAATGGTAATTAATGATAATTAATGATAACCCAGCTAAAAAGGGACCCATCCCAGCCAGTGCCCTCAGTCAGGGTGGCATTTCCCTCTGGTTTTGTCCAGCCCTGTCCTCCCAGCTGCACTCTGAGCACAGCTTATATAAAATAAACTCCAGTTTTAGGCTCCCACATTCTCCCACTCAGGTTGTGGTGCCCGTGACTTGATTTCTGCAACAGTTTTCCAGCAGACTCTGTGTTGATCCCTTTTTTTGGAGGCAAGTGTTTCTTTTGCTGGTGTTTCTTTGGCTGGGACTATGGGTAGGACAAGGCAGAGGGAGGTGTAGGGCAGACGTGTCTCTGACAGCAGCACAGCTCATCACAGCTCATCATTCCTGCCCCTGTGGGGCGTAAAAACACTTCCAGTGAGATTTTGGTCCTGTAAAAATCCCGCTTCTGAGTGGGATTCTTTGAAGGACAAAAGAAAAAGGCACAGTGCAGAGCCCTGTGGACTGTGGGGAATTGCTGCTTTCCCTGGGCAAGGAAACCCAAGCCTCATCTCTTCAGCTAGAAGGGCTCCACTCGAGCAGATGAGGCCGGGGATTGTTTTCTCTCCCCTCCTGACGGAAACGGCCCAAGGGCTGGCAGGGCATGAGCAGGAAGAGCACCAGGAAACACAGAGGGCACCCAGCCAGGCTGCTCTGAGCTGCCCAGCCACTGGCACTTGGATTTATTTATTTATTTATTTGTTTTAATTTTTTTTTTGCTGGTGGAGGGATTCAATTCCCTCTTGTGAGAATCCCTCGGGATTCTCGAGCTGGGAGAGAGCGTGTGCTGAGCATCCCAGGGCAGCTGCCTCCTCTCCCTGGGCTTCCCTGCCTGTGTCAGAAGGCACAAACTCTGTGGACGTGGCATGTGGGCTGGCTGGGGATCATCTGTGCCACTTCCCACCCCTGCTCGTCTCCCTGCTAGATTCCCTCGGGATGGATGGAGCAGGAGTGGGAGCTCAGCCTTGCTGAGGTGGCATTACTCATCCCCAGGGAGTCATTCCAGGTTCCCAGCCTGTTGTGTAACTGAGAGGGCTTTGCCTTTTAGCTGTGACACGCTGGTGGAACAGTGGGAGGGTTTAAATTTGGGAATTTGGGGTTGGCAGAGGCTTTAGCCCAGTGCTTGCACTGCAAGCTGTTATTTTTCTAGGGAAGCGGGATCAGTGAGCTCTGGAACTGCCATCAGGGAGCAGGATAAGGACATTTTGGACTCCATGGAACTTAGGCATGTTGTACCCTTGAAGGATGGGAAATCAGGTGTTGATCAGGGATGCAAAGGGCCAGGCTGCAGGAAGAAAAATCTCGGGCCAACAAGACCAGGAGTGTGGGAAAAGACAGATGGGAGGAGTTAGGATGGAGGACTGGAGTCCTTTTATCTTCCACTTCCAGCTTATCCAAAATGGATGTATGGCTGCATTACCCCCAGCAACATCTCAGCCTCATAATTCACCTCCCCAAGGACTTCACTGGGATATAAAGGCACCATGGATCTGGAAAGGAGGGATAAATGTTCATTTTTGCTCCCTGTGAGGAAGCTGGAACTCCATCACAGCCCTGGAGCCGAGTGAGTCCCTGAGATCACCGTCCTTGAGATCAAACACTTGGAACCTTTCACATCAAGTCCCCACACCAAATATAAAGTTCAGCTTTCCTGCTCTCCCAGCCATAGGCAGTTGTATTCATCCCTTAGCAGATACCAGACCCAAAATGTCTTCCTCCTCCACAGAGTCCAAATATATCGACTCCTTTCCATGTGTTATGATAAAAATGGGGAGTAAATTATACTCTCTCCACCTTCTGGCAGGAAATATGCTGCCAGACTCGCCTCTGCACATTAAACAATGGCTGCTCCTGCTTTCCTGAAAAGAAAAGCATCCCCAGAAATCCCAGCTCTCTCTCTCTTTTTTTTTAATATATATAAATATATTTTTTAGCTGGTTTTTTGTGTCCAGCTATCAGAAGCACGAAGAAAACCGAGTGGAAAAATTGAATCTGGCAGCAAGAGCTCGATGCATGAAGGCACACGACTCCCAAACCCAGAGAACAAAAATAGCTGAGAGAGAGAGAGAGAGAGAGAGAGACAGAAAAAAAAAAACAAATAAAAAATTGCCTGAAAGAAGCTCTTTAATTATTCCTTTTCTCTCCAAAGCTTTGCCCCCCCCGGGCACAGCCATTTGTGTGGGGCAGCCATATGGGAGGCAGGAAGGAAGGCTGGAGAGAGCAGCATTATTTGGGAGAGAGAGAAAGAGAGAGAGAGAGAGAGAGAGAGAGAGAGAGAGAGAGAGGCTTCTTTTTTTGGCTGGCTTTTCAAAGAGCTGGTAGCAGATCGATGGTGGCCAGAGCCCCGGGCACGAGGCAGGCTCTGCTCCCGTTGGGAGGCACCAGGATTTCATTTCCAGGCTGGATGACGGGAGGCTGAGGGGGGGGGAGGTTGGATTCTGGAGAAGGAAGAGGGTGGGATAAGCGTTGGAGGGCTTTTTCAGTCTGCTGGGGAATATTTCTGGGCTGTCACTGAAGACATCAGGAGCCCCAGGGGCACAGTTTTGCTGTTCCCTTTGCTCTGGGGGTGTCCTGTCCTTTTGCTGGGAGCAGGATGGATTCTCTCCTCTGTCATTCTTGTTCAGGGCCGGATTTTATTTTTTTAAACATTTCAGGAACCAACCTTTTAAAATTGCAAGGCCTCAAAGTTCAGAAGCTCCTTGCAGGATGAGGTTTGGGATTGAATGACCTGGGTGAGGTTTAACCACATTTCCAGGTGTGTGGTTACAGGAACAACCGTCCTGGTTGTGGAGCAGCTCTGCCAGGGAACACTCCCAGGTTTGCAGCGTCTCCAAAAAGTCATTCCAGAGCACATGCCTGAGTCTGGGAATGCCTCTTGCAGATGCCTGATGTCATGTTAATATTTCACTCGGTGGGGGAGGCCTGGTGACCTCTGCAGCTGGATTTTATGGCTTCTTGCTGTCACATCTGTCCAGTGACGTGGAGAGGGAACAGTCCCAGCAATCATGGAGCAGATTCCTCTGTATCCAAGGAAAGCCCCACGCGTGTGAAAGAGTCTTGTGGTGTTTGTTGGGTGACTAAAAGGGCCAAGATGTGTCTCTGCTCTGCTGGAGTGATGGTTCCTGAGGTTCAAAGGGCATCATCTGCCACGTGGCTGCACTTTCAGGCACAGTTACAGCCTGGAAATGGGGGTTGGTGGTGCTGGGACAAGGAATTTGTGCCTGGTAGGAAGGGATGGTGAGGTGGAACAGTGGTTGTTTCTGTGTTAATTAGCATTGCTACCAATTAGCAGCACTGCCTGCAGAGTCAGAACACTGAATGGCTTTGCTGGGGGTGGCTCCCACAGCCCACCTGAATTTCTCCATGGCACTGGCAGGAGATAAAATAATCCCCATCTCTTTCCCCAGCCCTGTGGAATTCATTCCTGAGGAGGTGTGATCCTCCTTCTCCTGAGGAATTCAGTCCTGAGTGTGTGTAGCAGCAGGAAACTCTGAAGTGGGGACAGAGATCCCTCCTCCTGCCCCCTCCAGCATTCCCTCTGATCCTGACTCACCTGCGACTTCCTGGTGCTTTCCCAATCACCACAAGCCATCAGTTAATTAATGATCCCTTTTTGCTGTTTGATTGCAGGGCGACCATCGATGAGGTGGAGACAGATGTGGTGGAGATCGAGGCAAAGCTTGACAAGGTGAGGTGGGGCAGCTCCGGGCAGTGTCTGAGGAGGGGCTGAGGAGTCTCCTCTCAAACCTGAGCCCGTCTCCAGCTGCCAGGGAACTAATGTTGAACCCACTGGGCTTGTCACCAGGAGCAGGTCTCCCTCTGCTGACAGGTACCTGGCAGGGCCTCTCTGTGACTGCCAGAGGGATGGGAGGAGGAGCAGACAGGCTCCTGATGGGGAATGTGGGGCTTCTTGTTCCGCTCCTGGATCCCAGGGGACTGACACTGCTGTGGCAGGTTCTGTCAGTGCTGTTTGCTCCCCTCTCCACCTTCTTACCCGTGATATTAGTGGGGCAGGAGGTGTTCAGTGCCCTCACAGCACTGTGCCAGCTCAGGGAGGGTGAGGAGACACTGCAGGTCACCAAGGGCCACCTTCAGACTGCAGCTGGAATCTGACGCTGCAAATCCCCTCTCGGGGACCAGTTTGGCCATTTTGCACTGGTGCTGGGGATTCTTTACATCCAGCTGGTAGTTTGGATCTAAGTTTGTGGTGGGAGGTGGCTTTTCCACCCCCACTCCTCCTGCTGCCAGAGACATCAGACATTTGCTTCTAAAGGAGAACAGAGAGAAATGACGAAGACGAGCCAGAAGAGCTGTTTGCTTTTTATCTGTGAGATCCCCCCCCAGAGCTCACAAGGGATAAAACTCCTGCATCTGATGGAGAAATGGGCTTTGTTGAAGCCTCAAGCCCTAGGCAAAGCTGTGTCCTACAAAACCTATTTACTGATCAAGCTGCTTGGAATGGTGCACGAGCTGACTGGTGTCACTGGGGAGAGCTGCACAGGGGTTTGGGTTGTCTGTTCCCCTCCAAGCTGAGACCCTAAAGAAAAAGGTGAAAAGTGCTCTGGTTCTGGCCCTGCTGCTGCCAGGGAAATGACTTGGTGTGCCAGGAACAGCCCTGGAGGGAGGAGGAGGAGGGTGGAAGTGCAAGAGCTTGGTCACTGTCAGCAGTGGGTTTATCAGGCAGGGCAGGGGAGGCTGGAGTTTGCATCTCAAGAGCCACTGGACTTTAAACCAGGTGACTTTGGGCCAGATTCAATCACCCTCTCTCTCAAAAAATCACCCTTGGATGGCCCAGCTCCTCTCCTCTGCCCAGGGCAGCCTTTCCAGGGCTCGGTGGGCACCTTGGTCAGTGGTACCCAAACAGTTGGCAGGGCTGGTGCGTGCAGAGCAGCAAACTGCCAAGGCCTGATTGTTCCTCTGCCTTTTGCTGTGCCCCTGAGCACTTAGTTTATAAATTATTAGCCTTTTAACACCTGTTTAAGTGGAGGTGAAAGGCAGTGTGAATGATTCACCCAGAGATTCGGGCTCGGCAGCTGTTGCAGAGAGATTCCCTTAATTTTATGCCGTGCTCCATGTCCACTGCTCCCCTTGGGGCTGGGATTGTGCTGCCTTGGCCCTCAGCTCCTGGTGACACAGCCTTGGCCAGGGCTGCTTGCTCAGAGGTCAGGCTGGAAACAGCCACGTTGCAGGAGGGGCTGGATTTCCTTTCCTCGGGATCCGTCCAAACCCCCCGTGTGCGTCTGGGCTCCAGATGGGACAGGAACTGCATCCACACTCCAGCCACATTCCAGGCAGGATGCTGAGCACGTATTTCTTTTGGTGGCTGTACTGTGGAGGCAGCATTTTGCTCCAGGGGGCTGTCCCTTCCCTCTCCTGGGCTGTACTCAGCTTTTCCAACAGTGATCCGGTGTCTGATCCTCAGTTGGGCATTAGATATTTAAGGGATAAGGATTCCCAGTCTCAGGCATTCTAGACCCAAAATTTCAGTTTGTGCAGGAGGAAAATACCTGGTGAGAAATGACTGTGACTCCTCCCTGTGCTCCAAAAGAAAAAGGCCCCATCATTCCCTGGTGCCTCTGGGAGGTGTCAATTGGGCTGCAAATTTAAAAGCATCAGCTCTAACCTCCAGTGCCTGTAAAAGCACAGGGTTTTACTTCTTTTTTTAACCAGAGCAGGGCAGAGGTGCAGGGTCTCAGAGGTATTTAACTTCTCCAGGGATCTCTGGGCTCAGTGAATCCGAGGATTTCCTTTCCAAACCTCCCAGTGCACGTCTGGGCTCCAGATGGGACAGGAACTGCATCTGTTTGCTTTTCTTCCCTGGGTTTGGATGGGATGTGCAAATCTGCTCGCAGCCAAACTGCAGGGGCAGGGGAGGGTGTGAGAGTGAGGGCTGGAAATGTGATGTGTGCACAGATACACCACGGGTGGCTGCAGATCTATCTGTACATTGATGCACTCAGCTGTATTTTTACAGAACTGCCGAGGCAATTCTGCAATTCCACATCTAGAACAGACCCCAGAGCCCTGGGGCTGCGTAAATAGAACAAGCCCCAAGCCCCAAAACAGCACATGGGGCTTTGGCATCAAACCAGGCTTGAGAGCTCCTCATTCCCAGCCTGTACCTGAGGCTGGTTGACAGGCAAAGATTCCTGAAGCCATTCTTTCATTTAGTAAATTTATTATCCCTGAAAAGCTGCTGGATTTTGAGACTGGAAAACTTGCTTTCCAACTGTTGCTCTTCATCACTTTTTCACTCAGTTTAGAAGCCCAGAATGGTGATGAGGTAAAACAAGCAAAAACCGAGCAAACAAAAAAAGATTTCAAGGTTTTTGCTCAGTGGCCCAGCCCTTGCTGCTGCAAATCTCTTGGGCCTTTGGTTTATGGATTTATCTTAAGTTGTTTAACATAGCCTCTTACAAGGAGCTTTGGCTGACAGGAGATAGGCTAATGGCCAGGAATTCTGGCTAAACTAAAGCTTAGAGCCAGTTCCAGGCGTGCTAAGGCACTTTGCTGTGGCTTGGGAAGTCTGGGAATGTTCCCTGCAGCTGTTAAACTATCAAAAGTTAAGAAAGGCTGTCTGGAGACGTGTCCCTGTGCTGCAGCAAATTCCAGAGTGGGAAGACACCCTGTTTTGCTGCCAGTTCCAGGTGACTTCACTATGACAAGGCTCTTTCCAGGGTCCATCAGAAAGTCTGGACCAAGTCACAGCTGGTCCAGAGTTATATCCTGTAATCTCTCCCAGGGCACCAGCAAAGTTTTCCAGGGCTGCAGAATTGTGGGAATAATTCAGAGTTACCCACAGCCTCCATGGTTTCACCTGCATGTGAGGGAACACAGATTTTCCCTGGCTGCTCAGCTGCTGAATTTTGGCTTCCCCTCATTCCGGGGGAAGAACAAGTCTCCACCAGTACACACCAGTACCCAGAACAGCCAGCTGGGCTCTGAGGCTCAGCAATCCCAAAGAACAGCACGCTCCCTGAATTTTACACAGTTTATCACATTCACTGAGCACCGAGGAGTCAATCCTTGATCCTGCCCGACCAACCTGTGGGATCAGGTTCCTTTCACTGCCCTCCTGATGCCTCAGGATAGAATAAGCAGGAGAAACCCACTGGAAAAAACAAGCTGTCCTCAGGAGAGAGCCTGGAATGCTGTCCCTAAGTGACAAGGGGGACGTGAGCAGCACGAGGGGGGATTTGCAGCCCTGTTTGAGCCACGGGCAGCGAGGGGTTGTCAATGCAGGAACATGAAGGTTCTGGGGTTGTGGGCTCGGTCCTTAAACCCGAGCTGGTTGTAATTCCATGTGGTGGGATGTCCCTGTGCAGCTGGTGAAGCTCTGCAGTGGGATGATTGAAGCAGGCAAAGCCTACATCACCACCAACAAGCACTTTGTCAGCGGCGTGCGGGACCTGTCGCAGCAGTGCAAGAAGGATGAGATGATTTCGGTAAGTCATCCCCCCCTGGGATGGAGCATCCCACCCCTGGGATGGAGCATGGCACACAGGGAGGGCTGGGGAGTGTCCATCTTGGATCACACATCCAAGACCCCTCTGCTGTTTAAGGATGAGGTTTTATTTTTGGAGGGGTGTGGAGACTGTCTGATGAGGCAAAGCTGAAAGGTCAGAGTGAGATTCGTTGTTTGCAGGCAGATCTGGACTTTTAAGAAGCACAGTGCTGGCAAGGTTGTTGGAATCTAGGTCAGTGAGCATCAGTGGTGCAGGAAACATGGGGAACCAGCCCAGCAAGACACAACAGACACGTTGATTCCAGCACTCAACTGGAAAGGACAAGCAGCCTATGGCTCCAGCATCGTGAAATGCCTCCTTGCCAAACTCAGAGTGGCTCTTCAGAGGCTTCATGAGAGTCCCCCCTCAGCCCCTGCACCCCTGGGAATGAAGAGCAGCTGCTCCTGTTCACTGCCAGTTCTCTTCACCTTTTTTTTTTTTTTTTGCAGGAGTGCCTGGACAAATTTGGAGACAGCCTGCAGGAAATGATCAACTACCACATGGTAAGGTGCTGCTTCCTCCTGTCCCTTTGGGTGCTCCTGGCACCCTCTTCCTCGAGGCACTGACTGATGGTCTCCTGTGCTTGGTTTTATATGACACTGCACAGAGAAGGGTGAGGTTAGAAACCCTTTCCTCACAGGGAGAACTCACAAAGGTCTCACTCCAGATGTTTTATTCTTTTTGGGTGGCAGAGGATTCTGCAGTGAGGACACACCAGGCTGTGAACAATCTGAATGTTTAACCTTGTTGCTTCAGGTTTGGAACAGACCCTGAAGCCTGGGGCTCAAATTTGTGGCATTGGGACACCAGTGAGGCTGTGAATGGGTCAGTCTGAGAGCACTGCCCTGTCCTGGGAGCAGCATCAGCTCTGTGCAGCTCTGAGGGGGGAGGATTTTAACACTCAGGACACATTAATGCTCCACTGAGCCCAAAGGATGGCAGTGCCCAGATGTGGCTCTCCTGAGCCAGCTGCATCCCCCTAACAGAGCCCAGGGAGTTAAATTCTGCCCTTCCTCCATCCCAAACATCCCAAGAGGAAGGTGCCCAATGGGTGGCTCCCTGCCAAACCTGCAATTTGAAGCCTCTAAGTCTGTAAGAGCTCCAAGCACAAAGTGCTTTAAAGTGGAAGGAGCTTCAGGGTGTCAGCACTGGACTGACCCACTTTCCTCCACGGTGCCCCTGTCAGAGCACATTAAGCACAGCTCTTGCTTTTGGGATGCAAGATAACCACGTGCAGCTGGGGGAGAAGCTGCAGCAAGTCCATTTAATTATTTCATGAAGCAGGTGGAAGGGCTGCTTCCTAGTAAAAAAAAGTGACAGGGAAAAGGTGCTGCACGTGCAGGTCTCTCCTGGGACTGTGAATATTTGGGAGCAAACGGTTGTACAGCAGTGCTGCTGGTGAGGAGAGAGGGAATAAATCAATGGGAGCATCAGAGGGAAGCTGTGCTTGTGTCAGAGCAGAGACAGTCAAACCCTGATTCTCTGATGTTAAAACCTTTGTGCCAAGGAGCATCTGAAGCCCTGAGGAGCTCCCCCCTTGATTCCAGGGATCACGACACGAGGAGTCAAATTCTGCCCTTCCTCCATCCCAAACATCCAAAGAGGAAGGTGCCCAATGGGTGGCTCCCTGCCAAACCTGCAGTTTGAAGTCTCTAAGTCTCACACATCCCAGCTGGATGGGTGGTGCAGCCCCACAGCTGGGGGAGTGGTGCAGCCCCACAGCTGGGGGAGTGGTGCAGCCCAGCCCTGAGGAAGCAGTCCCAGCCAGAAATCTCAGGATGCAGAGCTGTGTCTGCAGGCTCTGCTGCACCAGCTGTGCAGCTTCCCCTGGCCCCCTGCTCCTTGCAGGGACTGCTCTTCCCTCAGCCAGCCCAGCAGCAGAAGGACCCTTCCCAGAGCTGTCAGATGTGGGATCACCCTTCCCTGGGTGATTCAGGGGCTCTCCAAGCCGGCATTTCCCTACTCCAGGGAATTGTGCTTCAACCCTCCCTCCCCCCAGCCTCGGGAGAGCATCCTCCTCCCCTGGTGTGCAGCAGAGTGAGTGCCTGTCCAGGAAATGGCTTTGGAATGAGTGCTGCATCCTCAGCCCTTTCCAACAGGGGTTCAATCAGCTGGGTTATTTTTAGTGCCTTGTGCTGTGTGTGTGTGTTTGTGTCTGTGTGTCTTGGCTCATCCACGTCTGAGGATCTCAGCTCGGAAACAGTTGTCAGTGCTTACTCCAGGAATGTGGCCAGGACAGTCTGTACAACTGGAACAAGTTAAAAAGAAGAGAAAGTATCCCCCCCCACCAAGAAAATCAGTTGTTCTCTACTTTTATTGCCATAGCACGGGGCCTGGACTCGTCCTGATTCAGGCTCAGCAAAATCCAGGCTTAAAACTGCTTTGGGTGTGGAAGATGAACACACTGAGCTGCAGAGAATTCCCACCTTTTAATGCACAGGGAGGAGTAAACATCAAAACAACTTTAGGGGACAGATGACAAGAGTTGATTTAGAGCTGAACCAGTGTCCTCTGGCTTTTTGTGTCCTCTCAGCCACGTGCCTTCTTTCCATTTTTAACTTTTGCCAGCGCCCTGGTCATCCCTCCCTCGTGCTGGCTGCAGGGATTGCAGAGGGCACTGCTCTGTGCCTGCACCAGCTGGATTTTGGGCCAGTTAAAGCCATTCCCAAAGCAAACCAAACCAACCCAGTGAGCTCCTACCTGCAGTGCTGGTTGAGAAGGTCCTGGAAGCTCCAGGACTTCCTGAGCTGTCCTCTGGAATTGGCTGCCTCTCCCTGTGAGGGATGTCAGAAGTTTGGGCTCCTGGTTGTGTTAAACCTGCCTGACCCTGTTTTCCTGGGAATGGCTTTGCAGGGGGAGACAGGGGAGGGCTCAGACAGGCTGAGGTGGGTGGTGATGATGAGTGAGAGGTCAAGGAATGGATTTCCCAAGCTGGTTGTGTGGGATTTGACAGCGGGCTGGGGAATGGCACTGCCCTGGAGCCCCTGAGGATGTGCTGCTGTAACATCCCAGCTCTGCAGCTGGGAGGCTGGTTTTCCTTTCTGCTCCAGGGGAAAACGGCCTTGGAAGGTCTTGGACAACTGACTTCCAAGGATGTTCCTGTTCAGAGCAGTGTCTGGGAAAAAGAGTTCCCTGCTGATCCAGTGCTGACCTCTTGAGGCCTCCCTGCGCTGCAGATGTTGGGAGCAGAAAAGCCAAAGGTCCTGCTGGCTGCCCTGTCACCCCCAGTGACATTCCAGGCTCTGTCACCTCCAGCCACATTCCAGGCAGGATGCTGAGCACGTATTTCTTTTGGTGGCTGAGAGTTGCCTGGGAAAAGAGACCAACCCCCACCTGGCTCCCCCCTCCTGTCAGGGAGTTGTAGAGAGTGAGGAGGTCTCCCCTGAGCCTCCTCCAGGATCTGCAGCACCAGCCTGTCACATTCACACATCAGCTCTCTTTCCCTCGCAGTTCCTGTCTCTGTGTGATCAGAAAGAGAAGACAAGGGGAAAGGATGCCAGTGAAAGTGCTGCTGTGGTGGGATTAAGCCCCCCTTCAGCAGCACCAGGTACTTTCCACCCCAGATGTGACATGAGCACTGCCCTCCCCAGTGCTGTGCTGAGCTTCATTAAGCCCTGAGCTTTCCCCTCTGCCATAAATCACCGTGGCTGCATCACAGGGATCCTCCAGCAGGAGCAGGAGCAGCTTTCAGGGGAGGTTTAGCTCCGCTGAGCGAGCTGGGAAATGTTTCCTGCTGACAAGAAGAAAAGCCACCCAAGCCGTGATGAGTCAGGCAGATGGCAGATGTCCCTGGGTCCTGCTGCAGTTCAGGGGGGAAGGAGAGAAGGAAGGGAAAGTGGGAAGTGCTTCCAAGCTGCCCCGTTCTCCACAGGGTTGGGAGGACCACCAGCGTTTCCCGACAGCGCTTGGGAAGGGTCCAGGTGCACCAGGGAAGGGGGGGGGGAGCATTTGTGGAGGCAGAGCTGCCATCTGACAGGGGGGAGATGCTTCTGTCACCCCCTGCCTTCCCAGGTTCTGCCACTGTGCCCCTGGTGCAGTGACTTTACACTGGTCCAAAAAACCTCAGGGAGCTGCTGCCCTCGGAGTTTGGTGCCAGTGTGTGCAGTCAAGCCCAGCTCAGTGCTGGACTCTGAAAGACTCAGTTTGTGGTGGTTTCTAGAATTTCTTGGGTCGTCTGCTTTCTAATCAGGGGAAAGAACCAGCTTCAGTGATAGGGAAGGGGTAGGAAAAGCACAAACCCAAGCACAAACTGGAGCTCTTGAACCTGTTGTGAGAGACTCAACTTCACCTTGGGTCAGAAGTCAGACTGTGCAGACACCCAACATGTAGAATACAAGTGGTGTTTGGGCTTGTTTTCCAGATAAAAGGGTCAGGCTCCCATTCCCAGGCCACCAGGCAGCCAGCTCTCATTGAAATGCAGCATAAACCAGATCCCAGACAGTTTTGGGGGGAATGAGGTCTCCAGACTGGCCATGAGGGAGATCAGAGCTGGGATGTGACTCATGGCCACCATGGGGAGGGGAGATCCTCCCTCATCCATGTGTCCCACAGCTGCAGAGGAAGCTCCACGCCCTCCCTCTCCTCAGCTGGGGCAGGAGAAGGGCTGATTCCCTTCATGATCCCAATCTCATGCCAGACTGGGGCTCTCAGGGCACCATCAGGCTGTGATGGCCCTGCCCAGCTTTACCTGGGGCTACCCCCACAACCCCCCTCACCCACACCCATTTCAGCTCCAAGGAGTGATTTTTCCAGCTTGGTGCTGGCTCTGCCTTGTCACCCTGGATCTGCCTGGAGCTCCCTGACCCTGATCCATGGAGCAGCTTTTCCCAGCTCAGCTTCAGCCCTGTGCCATCCCCCCAGCCTGAGCTCCTGTGATCCTGGGCTGGTGAGACCCCCCCTGCCCTCCCTGTTATCCCTCAGCTCCTGCTCCTGTGGCCTCTGCTGCTCCCTGAGAAATTCCCACCACAAACTGGGGTTTGCTGCCATCAGTCTCTCCTCAGGCACCAGTCCCACGTGCAGCTGGGATGTCCTATTTCTGAGCTCTATTCCAGTTCACAGCCAGGCAATCCCACATCTTTTAGGCTCCTGCTTTGCTTTGTAGCCTGCTGGGATCTCCCCTCCTCCTGCAAGCTCCACAGGGAGCTGTAGGAATGGCATCCCTTTGGATCTCTGATGTCTTCTCTCCTGATTAGAGCCTTCAACTCCAAGAATAACACGCTGGGCTGCTGGGCTTGCTTTCACTTCTTGGGCGCCTGAAATTCCTAAAGCACAGGTTTGGGTTTATCCTGTTGCCTCAGAAACCCACGGTGGGAAAGTGAAATGTAGGATCTTGCTGCTGCTGGGTGAGAGGGATGTTCATTCCCTGTTCCACACTGACCCTCCTCACAGATGTGTGTGAGTCATGGGGCTGGACCTCTCCTGCCTTGGTGCAAGCAAAGGCAGAGGGTGGGGTGATGTTTGGTCTGGAAAATCTTAAAACAAATGATTTTGTTCCAAGTATGTCTGGGAAAGGAGAAAAAGCCAAGAGTTGATTTTTTTTTTCTTATTTTTTTTTAATAAATTTGAAACTCCAGCTCTTACAACTCTCTTTATTCTGTGCTGAAAATTGAATGGAGGACCCGCTTGAAAACGTTCCCCTGGTGGTGATCCTGCCTGGCAAAATTAATGCTGGAGCAATCAGAGTAATACAGATATCAGGATGCTTCTCAGCAAAGATGCTGCTGGCAGGAAAGGCACGTTCATTACCTGGGATTCCCTCAGAAACCACTTGGCAATCCCTGCTCCAGGCTCTCACTGGATCAATCCCATCACAGGGGTGTGTGGGGCTCAGGAGCAGGGGACAGGAGTATTGACAGAGCAGGAGATGGAGATATAAATATATATATATTTAAAAAAAAATATAATATATATAATATAAATATTTTTATATATTTTTTATATATATATATGGTCTGACTTCCTTTTCTGTGCAGTTTTCCTGCCCTGATACCTGAGATATTTAAATTAAAAATCCCCACAGCAATGTCCCTGTGCCTTGGCAGTGCTGCTTATGTGATCAGCACGAGTTCAGCTCCCTCTCAGTCAAACAGCTTCAGGAAGGAGCAGCTTTATGAGCTCTGATTTTGAGCCTGGGACTGAACCCTCAGTGAATTCTCCCTCCCAGGCAGTGGGAGAACAAGCCCTTGCTGTGGCAGGAGGAGAGCATTGCACACAGACCTGGAGCATCCTGCTGGGATTGTTGGAGGGGAATTCTGTCCTGCAAATGCTTTGCTGGGCTGTTCCAAGCGTGTGTCCTTTCCAGGCACCAGCTTGGAGCTCGTTTTTCCAGGCAGGAATGGCAAGGTGGGCATCAATAAGAGACAATAGCCTGGGTTTCTGTGACTTCAGTCACACTGGTGCTGCCACAGCAGGGTTTGTGTAGCCTGGATTTGCTGTTTCTCAAGCTGAGGAAAGCCCTGTTCCTTTCATTTGACTTTTATTCCCTGGAATATCCCAGGGCACTTGTCTGCAGTCCCATCATCGTGTCCCTTCCTTTCCCTGATCCAAAGCAAACGTGTCACCCTGGCAGAAGCCAATGCTGGAAGCTCTCCAGGTGGAGGTGCAGGTGGGAACCAGATGGTTTCTTGCTGCTTTGCCATCCCTGGATGGTGTCCTGAGTGGAGGGAAGCACTTTCAGTGCCCAAAATCACTCAGGGAAGCAGCTCCACGTTGGAAAAGCTGCAGGCCAGGCCAGTGCCTCTTGGAGAGCTGCTGGAGAGAGCGAGCGGGTGCCAAGAGCAGTAAATAATTTACGTGGGTAAAAAACACAAAGCTGGGTGGCCTTGGAGGTTTTCTTTCTTTCTTTCCCCCCTTGCTTTGCATCTGTTCATATTTAGAGGCTGTTTATGCTCAGCCAGTCCTGGCACGTTCTGCCAAGATCTCTGTGTGAGGACAGAGAACTGCTGGGTCTGGGGGTTGTGGTTTTAGTTTTGGTCGTGTATCTCACAGTCTGTTTTTATTTGGCAATCAGTTTAATCAATCTTTTCCCCAGTCAGGTCTGTTTGGCCTGTGATGGCAGCTGGTGGGTGATCTCCCTGTGCTTGTCTCGCTCCATGAGCTTTTCCACCTTATTTTCTCCCCTACCTGGCTGAGGAGGGGGAGTGAGGGTGTAGGGATAATTTATCTTGTAAAGGAGAGTAAAATTTAAAAGATTTTTAAGAACCCAGTCTCTCTTTTACCGTGTGCTTGGACCTCTCCCCAACGTGTGGCTGCTGGGATGTTCCTGGTTGTTCTGTCCTTCCCTGGATGTAGAGTTGAGGTACCAGTGCCCTCCTCTGGCAAAACGAGGAATTCGAGACTCGGGATTGTTCCAAACAGGGATATAAAGGCAACTGCTCCTATAAACTCTCCTAATGGAAGAGGATCATCTCTTCTCATGGAAGTATGTCGGGGGCACAGGTCTGTCTGTGAGATTCCCACCCCTGGCACAGCCTGTGGAATTCTGCAGGGGTAAGGGACTGCTGCAGCTGTGGAAAAAGATGTTATCCATTGTGACAGGCAGCAAGAAATGGACACCCCCAAGGCCTGGAGTGATGCTGAGTCCCTCACACCGAAGCTCCTCAAGAGTGGTTATGAACTTTCCATCTCCTCGATGTTTCCGTGTTGCAAAAGATTTGAATTTCTTTCCCCTCCTCTCTTTCAGATCCTGTTTGACCAGGCTCAGAGGTCAGTCCGGCAGCAGCTGCACAACTTTGTGAAAGAGTGAGTACTTGTCTTGTCTGTTTAGTCTTCAGCATCTTGAACTTCCATTGCATGTGTCCTGTGTGTGCTGGGAACAGAACCACCACCTCTGCCCAGCGGCAGAATTTGGAGCAGGATGGCACTGGAGGGCAGAGGGAAGGGTCTGGTGTGTGTGATTTTGGTGCACTGTCACTTGGTTGCTCTGTTGGCAACCGGATTTCTCCATCCTGGTCCCAGCTCTGGAGTTAAGGCTGGGCACGAGGCAAACTCCCAGATCAGGGCATCATCCCAAAGTCCATCTGAGAGCTGATCCTCCAGGTCAAACCCATCCCAGAGCTCAGATCCCTGCCAGCTCTGCATCTTGTGTTATCTCAGACTCAGTGCAGTGGTTTGAACCAGTGCAGAAAGAAGGGACTGGGCCCCTCAGTTCAGGAAGGACATGGAGGGGCTGGAGCAGGTCCAGAGAAGAGCAACAAGGCTGGGGAAGGGACTGGAGCACAAGTGCTGTGAGGAGAGGCTGAGGGAGCTGGGGCTGTTCAGCCTGGAGAAGAGGAGGCTCAGGGGAGACCTCCTCACTCTCTGCAACTCCCTGACAGGAGGGGGGAGCCAGGGGGGGGTTGGTCTCTTTTCCCAGGCAACTCTCAGCAAGACAAGAGGGCTCAGGGTCTTCAGCTGTGCCAGGGGAGGTTTAGGTTGGATATGAGGAAGAATTTCTTTGCAGAGAGGGTGCTCAGCCATTGGAATGGGCTGCCCAGGGAAGTGGTGGATTCTCCGTCCCTGGAGGTTTTTAAGAAGAGACTGGATGTGGCATCAGTGCCATGGGCTGGGAACCACAGTGGGGTTGGATCAAGGGTTGGACTTGATGATCTCGGAGGTCCCTTCCAACCCAGCTGATTCTCTGATTCTGTGATTCTCTGACTGTGCTGCCAGCTGCCTTTGGGGTGCAGCAGAACCGTTGTGGTTTAGCTGCCCACAAAGCCCCATGAAATCAGAGCGTCCCTGCTCTTCTGGAGTAACCTGAGCATCTCTGTGGGAAGGTGACAGATGTGGGAGCCCTTCTCTGCGTGCAGGGAGCAGCTGACCAGCCCTGTGCCCTCAGCCTGGAGCTTGGCCACCCCTTCAGAGCCATTTGCTAATGGGAAGCAGGTTTGCAGTGCCCTGGTGTGAGCAGGACGTGGCCCATTAAGGCTGTTAACTCCCTGGGGTGCTGCAGGACCCGGGCCCAGCGAGTTAATTGGATGGGGACAGTGTGTCCCTGCTGCATTCCCACATTTCCTGAGTGCCTCTTTTCCCCAGGGCAGGTCCCTGGTGCAGGGATCCCACGAATATAGGTCAGAGAGGCAACTGAGGTCTTCACTAAGCAGGAGCTGGTTGCTATGGGAACGGGCTGAATCCCTCAGCAGCTGGGTGCTCTGATGGAGGGAAGGGGTCCCTGGGTGACCCCCCCCCATTCCTCAGCCCCATCTTCTTGCCCAGCACTCCCCCTACCCCCACTATCTTCATAATCATTTCTCTGACGAGCTCAGATTTAATCTGCTTAAGGCTGGCGCTGGGAAGGGGGAATTTCCACCTTGGGTTTGGCTCTGTCGTCCTTTCACCATCTTCCCAACTCCTTCTTTTGTGCTACTCAACCTCTGCACTCACAGGCCCCGGAGCTTTGACATTTGCAGTGCTCCTGCCCCGGGTTGGAAAAAAAACTCCAGGCTTGGGACCCCTTTTTAGGAGCAATCTGCAGCTTCCTGGCTGATGCTGGGAACAAAGCAACAATGGGAACTGTGCCCTGCGTGGTGATCCAGGCAGTGCTTGCCCTCTGCCTGCCCTGCCTGTCCCCAAGCCTTGCTGGTCCTTGCCTGGTTTATTTATGGGGTCACACAGGAGGCTCAGCTTGCCCTGGCCTGGTGTCAGCAGCCAAATGCTCTTTTATCACCTTCCCAAAGCACAGACCTTGCTGAGCAGGAGGGGTTTGGGAGCTGAATCTCGAGGCTGTGGTGATGCTGCTGTTGGAGCTGAGCCTTTCCAGCAGGATCACTCATCCCTGCTCCTCTCCATGGGGACAAATCCAGAGGAAGAACCATTCCCTCCAAAGCTGGATCCCAAATGATATAAAATCCCCACAGCCTTTGCTGCAAACGACCCCAAAATGCAAAAAGTGCCCTTTTTTCTTTTTCCCATAACTCAGCAGCTCTGAGCACTGAGGGTGATGTGAATGAGTAACAACCACCTGAACACTAATCCAGTCCCCTCTGTGTTCATTTATCCCTCCTGGACCTGCCCAGGGCGGATTCTCCTGGCCAGAGGCTCATTCCATACGTAAGGATTTGCAATTCCCAACAGTTTGCCTCAGAGCAGAGTTCAGCATTTACTGTTTGTCCTGCTCAGCCAAGGCTCTTCCTCTCCTCCCAGGGTAAAGAATAAGTGGGTGCTGCTGTTTACTAACAGCTTGTAACTACTTTATAACAGTTTATAATTGAGATAAACTGAGCTCCCCCGGACAGAAAACAAGTGTTTGTGGTAGAGCTGCTGTAAATCAGCAGTGCTGCTTCAACTCCTGAGGAACCAGGGCTGCTTTTAAGAGCTGATCTTCTGCCCTGTCTTCACTTCTTTGTGGTCATGCAGCTCAAATCAAGTCCTGCCTGAATGGTACCTGCTAATTTAAAAAAAAAAATCAACCAAACTAAAAAAAAGAAATCTGCCTGTCACTGTGTCTTTACAGCCCCCTCTGCAAAGCAGACCCTGATCCTTTATGAGGTCTCTGGGCATAATTAAAACCTTGAAAGGATCGTGTATTTCTGAATGCAAATGTTAATAAATGTGCCTGTGGTACAGGGGGAAAAGAATGGCCAAAAAATACCTGGATTTCACAGTCAGGCAAGACAGAATCAGCTTGAGAGTCTCATGGATGGCCTGGCTGCCCTGAGTGCCCTGAACTGAGTTTGAAAATAGCTGATTTTACTCTTTTCACGGGGTGACACGTGAAACACGTGGTTGTGCAGGTGGGTTCTCAAACGTGCTGCTCCTCAGTTGTTGTGAGGAGTAACTGTGGCCCGTGTTTAGGGCTGGGGGACACCTGGCCTGGCTCTCTGGGGGCTGGCTGGGGAGAATTCCCTGAAGGCTTTGAAGGCGGTGTGGGAAGTCCAGTGTCTGTCACAGAATCACAGAATCAACTAGGTTGGAAAAGACCTCTGAGATCATTGAGTTTCCTTACCAATTGCCTCTGAAGAAAGACTTGATTTAACCTTTAACTTGATTCTAAACTACCCCTCCAGGTAGTTTAGAGGGGTGGTTTAGAATCCCAGTGGCATCCGCAGCAGGATCCTGGAGTGATCCCAGTGAACCTGGTTGGACCTCTCCGTGCTCTGGTGTCAGGGATGTTCTGGCTGTTCTGTGACAGTGATTTCTATCCTCCTCTGGGTTCCAGTGATGTCAGGAAGTTCAAGGAGACCAAGAAGCAGTTCGACAAGGTGCGGGAGGACATGGAGATCTCGCTGGTGAAGAACGCCCAGGCCCCCCGGCACAAACCCCACGAGGTGGAGGAGGCCACGGGCACCTTGACCATCACCAGGAAGTGCTTCAGGCACCTGGCCCTGGACTACGTGTTGCAGGTTGGTGGCAGTGCTCCCCCTCTCCCAGTTCCCACTGGGCCTCCCAGTGCAGAACAAGGGACAAAGGGACGAGTGGGGGTCAACAGGTTACTGGATTGCTGATCCCTTTTGCCCTCTGCCCCCTGAGGCAGGGAGTCCTTAGGATGTGTTTTCATTCCTAAAAATGCTGTACCTGAGAAGAAAAATCTTTTAATTTTTTTTAAATTTTTTTTATTTTATTTTCAGTAAGAAAAATTAAACTATTTTTTTTTCAGTAAGAGAAATAAAGTGGCTCGGACTGAATTTCCCATTCCTGGCAGGGATTTCCTGCAGGAACACTCACTCCCTGCTCCCACAAAATGGTCAGGGCTTTGACTTGGAATCATTCATAGCTGTCCTGGCAGGTCTGTGCTCTCAGGCAGTGGGTGGGTTAAGCAGAGAAATTCAGTGTCACCACTGCTGCCTGTGTGTCCCCACGAGCTGTCACTGCTGCAGCATCAGCTCAGACCATCTGCTGACAGTTCTGCCTGACCAGGAGACAGTCTCTGGTGTCCCATCCTCTGGGCAATGCTTTCCCCTCAAAGTATAAATCATGCATGTTGTTGGTGCTTTAGCACTGCAGTTTTTTTACATCTTTATTTCCTGGCGAGGTCACTCCATAATAAGCTCCCTCCGTTTCTCCCACTGACAAAGAGGGAGAATTCCTTGATTGTGCTGATCCATTGCTGGGGAGGTTTCTCTGTTGGTCCACTTAAACCCCTCAGTTTTGAAATGTGCAGCCATGAACTTGTCCAGGTATCCTTTGGTGTTTAATTAAGGGTTTAATGAGGAGAGTTATCTTATTCTTTTATATCTGTAATGTGGTACCTGCCCGAAGAAATTTTCAGTGACCTGATTTATCAATTTATCAGTGACCTGATTTCCTTCATTTGGCACCAAAGGGCACCCTGGGGTCACTGTTTGTTCCAGCCTGTGTGCAGACACCCACCCACCAGTGACCTCAGAGCAGCCCAGGTCAGAAAAGGCATTTTTATCCCACCTGGAACTGCCCAGAAGTGCCTTTACTGGGGAACTTTGCTCTGGAATCGTGCAGGGGATGCTCTGTGGGTGCTGCTGGGGGTATCCCAGCAGAGCTCACAGCCCAGAGGGCTCTCACAGCAGGCTGGTCATGGCTCTCCAAGCCAGGCTGGTGCTGAGATGTGTGTCCTGCTTCCTCCCCAGATCAACGTGCTGCAGGCCAAGAAGAAGTTTGAGATCCTGGATGCGGTAAGGGCTCCCTGTGTTTCCTGGGGCTGCTCTCAGTGAGCCCATGCAAGGCAGGCCCTCTCCATTTCAGGTTGCAGGGCTCCACATACCGTCTGCCTGCCCTGGAGATACTGTTGGCACCTGCTCTGGGGGCTGCAGGTATGGCAACAGAGGGGAGCTGGAGGGCCAGCAGGATCCTCCCTCAGGGGGGGAATTTTCAGGGGTGCAGGACACTCAACTTTTATGCTTCGTGCTCGCAGCAGGCGGAAGGAATTGTGAGAGGAAGAGAGGAGAAGAGGGAGAGGCATCTTGCTTTGGGAAGGGAAAGTTAGACCCAGTTTTGTGGGTAATAATTTTGTCCCAGAACCTGTTGTGACCCTGCTGTTGTTCCCTCCCCAGATGCTGTCCTTCATGCACGCCCAGTACACCTTCTTCCAGCAGGGCTACACTCTGCTCCACGAGCTGGATCCCTACATGAAGAAGCTGGCCACGGAGGTGAGGGCACAGGGAATGTCTGAGAGGGGGAAAGCACATCCCTTTTTCCTGCTCACACACATCAGGGAGTGGCTGGAGCATCAAGCCTGGTGGAGGCTGGCTGGGGTGACACTGGTGGGGTGACAGCCAAGGGCTGTGGTTGCTCAGTGCACACCCAGACACAGCCTGTTCCCTTCTGGTGGGGGTGTTAGAAAGGGCTGGTGTGACCCCCAGAGCAGGGCAGTGGCTCACAGACCACCTTCCTGACTCTTCTGCCTGTTTGTCCTTCTCCCTGCCTTTAGCTGGACCAGCTGGTGATCGATTCTGCCGTGGAGAAGAGGGAGATGGAGCACAAACATGCCCTGATCCAGCAAAGGGTGAGTCCTGGGGCTGCAGCCCGGTGCCAGCAGCACTTGTGTCCATCTGGATCCTGGTGGGAGCTGCCAGCTGGGGAGGGGCCTTGCTGGGTCAGCCCTTCCCAGCCTGGAGATGAGGGATAACCCCATGGATGCTGGGATCAAAGGCAGGATGTTCAGCCACTGACTCATGGAAGGGAGATGGGCACAGGCAGGACCCCCCAGGCCAGGGCACCAGGGGGGTTTTCCCAGCTCTGCCACTGACCTGCTGTGCCCCTGAGCAAACCTCCCTGCTCACTTTGCCTCCCTCTTTGCTGCCCAGGCTGTGGGGATTGTTCTTTAAATGTTCTTTAAATGTTTCTCTGTGAATGTCTCTGAGGTGGAGGAGTGGATGCAATGCTTTGGAATTGCCTTTGGAAAGGGCTGCAGAGCAGAGCTGCTTTTTGGGGAGAGATTGGAGCCTTTTATCCCACCCTTCCTTCCCCTCTCCTCTCCCCCAGCCTCTCATCCTTCCCCTGGCTGGGCAAGCCAGCTTTTAGCCCAGCAGCTGTGTGATCTCCAGCCAGCCCTGGGGTGTCCCTGCCACCTCTCCCTGCCTTGCCCATGGTGAGGCAGCAGCATGGCAGCATTCCCAGGTGCCCAACCCACCCAGATGGGCAGAGTCCCTGTGAAATCATCCAGCAGATGGACGAGGGGATGCCCCTGTGGCACCCACAGGCAGGATTTGCCTTTTCTTCAGGCACAGGGAGCTCACAGGGGGGTCAGGGAGCCACGGGGAGAGAGGAGCAGGGAGCTGCAGAGACCTTCTCTCTGCTCCACACCGCTCTCAGGTGATTCCTGCTTAGCTGCCAGGACATGCCATGGTTTCAGCAGGACTTTGGGAAGGTCCCTGGGGACCCCAGCAGTGGCTGAGCAAGCTGCTGCTCTGGTGACCCACTGGGTGTGTGTCCTCTCACCTGCTGGAATTGGGAGGAACCCCCACAAACTGGCAGGATAATGGGATTTATCATCAAACAGGCCTGACCTTTCAGTAAGGAGGCATCTTTAGTTAACGTGGGCTCTGATTTTTCAGACCTGGGAACGATTCCAGATCTGAGGCTTGCAGAAATACCAACTAATTGCTTATTTTTTCTTTTCCTTCTCTTCCTCCTGGACTGCTGGCCTGGCCCTGCAGACCCTCCTGCAGGTGAGTAGCCACATGTATTTCCTTCTTCCTTCCATCTTTATTTCCTCAGAACTTGCTGCTCTGGATATTTACCAGATATTTACAATATTTACCAGATATTTACAATATTTACTGTGCTGCCTTTGAAAGCAACCCAGAGAAGCCTTGGCGTGGCATCAGTGGTGTCACCTGAGCTGGAAATGTCATTTTTAAAGCCCGGTTTTAAGTGAGTTGGGTTTCACCCTCCTCGAATTGGTTTTCAGTGCTGTGCCAAAAGAAGGTTTTGGTTGCCTGTGCTCCCTGTGATGCTCAGCTGTGACTCAGTGTTGCAGTGGCAGCAGTTCCTGGTGTGTTTTTGGTGCCTGGAGCCTTTGATGGCTCTGTGTGTCTGGCAGGCACTTGTGTGGATCAATATTTCTGCACAGAAGGAATTTGAAGTGGCTGTTGTTTCCTCTCTAATGGTCTGTCTCTCTCTCCAAAAAATGTCATAACCCTTGAAATGGGGACAGAACCAGCTTTGAAAGCTGATGAGTGACGTGCCCTGGGAATGGCCTGGGCATGTGCTGCCTCTGCCTAAGTGTTCTGAGGGAGGGGGAGAGTCCATTTGTGAACCTTCGGGTCCCCTGGGACTCTGCTGGAGTGATGACTTCATCCAGGGGGATGTGGAAAAGCTCTCCAGGGCAGGGCCTTTCACTCCAGTCTCTTCCTGGGGCTGAGAGAGCTGAACATCCTCACTGCAATTTAGGATTTCAAGCTTCCTGCCTGAGACTCTTTTATGAGCTGCTTTTCAGCTGCTCTGAGTCCGTGCTGCTCCTCCCTTTGTGATGGAGCAGGGTCCCCAATTCCCCTAATTCCCCACAGCATATAATTGAATATATATCTTCCTGGTGAGCCCACAAAACCCTCTGGTCCCTTGAAAAATGTGGAGATTTGGTTGTGCTTAATTAGAGTGGTGGCATAAATATAATTTTTTCCTCGCTAGTGTCTTCCCAAACAGCCTGTTAAGGCATGACAGACTCCCTTTAACCCAGGAAATTTGGGATAAATAATACATTTTGAAGTGTTTTTGGGAGCTGTGCAGATGCTGAAGGCAGGGAATTGTCCTTGGACAGCTTTGTGAGGTGTGGGGGAAGCCTTCTGAGAGCCCAGTTCATCAGGAAATGGTCTGTGGCATTTTGTTTCATTATTGTTTTAATTAAAATGAATCTGGTGGGAAAGAAAAGCTCATCACAAATCTCGACTGTTTTGTTTGCTGCTGTAATTTAGGTAATCTGGAAAAGGCAGACCTGGGGATTTTTCACAGTGGGAAACGGGTAGAGAAAGGGTGATGATGTTTAAACCAGTCCTTCCTCCCAGACCTTCCCAAATCCTTCCACTGCACCAAAACTGAGAGTCCTGGGCTCTAAAAATGGGAGATGTTGGATTGGATATTAGGGAAAATTTTTCCACTGAAGGGTGGTCAGGCATGGGAACAGTGGTGGGATCACTGGGAGTGCTCAGAACTGTGGGGATGTGGCAATGGGGGACGTGGTTTGGTGGTGAAAACTGTGCTGGGTTAAGAGCTGGGCTTGATGGTTTTAAAGGACTTTTCCAACTTCATTAATCTCTTGATTCCAAGAACTATATAATCACTATATGTGACTCCAAGGGCTATAGAAAAGCTCCTTTTCAGCCTCACACCTCTGGTTTTAAAGGACTTTTCCAACTCCATTGATCTTGTGATTCCAAGAACACAGGGCTGTATAAAAGCTCCTTTCCAGCCTCTCACCTCTTCCCAGCCCGGAGCAGTTTGGGAAGCAGTCGTGCCTCTCTGTTGCCCGTTTGGAGTGCCAAGGCAGAGCTCTCTGCCTCATTTAGCCCAGCTGGTGGATAACAAACCAGGGGCCAGATGGCACCTCAACCCCCCGAATCCCGGGGCTGGAATGACTGGCCCAAGGGTGGCCCTGCTCCAGGAGCTGGGGAAGCAGATCCCGGGGAAAGGCAGACAAGCCCGGCTCTGTTAAGGTCAGGGAGGCACCGGGTGAGCATCCTGCTGTCAGCTCAGCTCTGTGCTGCCTGGCTTCTCCTGCCAGCTGTATGGTAATTAGCCCCTGCTCTAAGCTGATTGCCCCTGAATAGGGAGGCTCAGGGAGGGGGCCAGCGGGTGGTCCCCAGGGACCAGCAGCCTCCCGGAGCCCCCCTCGCTCTGCCAGGGGCCGAAGGCAGAGCTTGGAGCTTCCTAAAAAAAAAAAAAATAGGAGGAGGAGGAGGAGGAGGAGGAGGAGGGGTGAAGGAGAAGGGGCTGTGAAAGAAATCCCTCCTTCCCCGCCAGCCCCCGGTGCTGAGTGGAGATGCTGCTCTAGAGAGCTCAGCTCTGTAGGCAGGAGCAGCAGAGCCTCCCTCGCAGCGGCAGCATGAAGATTTTCGGCAGGCTCGAGTACCTCCTGGTAAGGGCACTCCTGCAGGGATGGGGGAGCGCGTTTAGGGTCCCTTTTCCCTTGGGAATTGCGCCTGTAGGGACAATCCCCTTGCTGATGGGACCCCAAGCCGCGTTTTGCCGCTGCGGATTTTCGGGTCCTGTCTGTGGGTTTTGGGAGGGTTCCGGGGCAGGGCACGGGGCTCTGGGCATCATCTGCTGCCAGGGAGAGCGTTTGGCATTAGGAAACTCGAGAAACAAAAGGTCTGCAACTGGGATTTGGCCAGGATGGGTGAAAGCTGAGCAGAGCGGGATGGTAGGTGGGGGAGCCCTCCTCCAAATTCCATCTGCTCCGAGGGGCCGGGGTTGGACATGACACAGGCAGAGAGGGGAAAAGAGCCAGAGAGAGCAAAGCTTGAGATCCAAACAGGCTCCAGGAGAGAAGAGCAAGTGCAGGCACCGGGGTGTGTGCAGAGGGGGGTGTGTGCACCTTTAGGGAATGGGAATTCTCCTCGGAATTGGGTTTTCTTGGCAATCAAACAGCCAAACCAGGCACAATTTCCAACTGGCCTCCAGAGGTTGTGTTCAATGCATGGATGTTGTTAATGTGCCTGATGTTATGGTGAATATTGAGCATCACTGGATGCCCAAGAAGGCACTTTTGGATAAAAGCCTTTGTCTCCTTAGAGGGAAAGCATGTGTTGCATGTGTTGTTGATTATCCTAAATGGTATTGATGGAAAAGAAACTAATATGGAGGTTTGGTAGTAAGAGACATTTCTTTGGGTATCTAAGAACTGAAATGAGTCCCTGCTCATGCTTGCTTAGGTTTGATAGTGTTTTCTATCAGTGAAAACCAAAATATTGCAGAAAAAAGGAGAGTGATGTTATTTCTGTGCTGAATTGATAACTGAGGGAATAATGCTTTGACTTTTCCAGGCAGAGCCATTGCCATAGTGATTGTATTTATTTTAAAGACTTTTAAGGAAGTCTTGGTATTTTAGAAGAAAGGTCCTACCTGTTTTCAGCCAGGGGTTGTGCTTTTTGGGATAGGAATGAACCTATTAGTGAGACCTTCCTCCTTCAGTGGGAATGTTCTTAGGCAGGGGGGCTCCTTCCTTGGAAGATTCCCTCCCCCAAAGATTCCAGGCTGTTGAGGGGCAGCTTCACTCTTCATATTCAATCTGTTCACTGATGCTGGAGGGCAATTTAATTTAATCAGCCGTTTTCTCTGCATGAAATGCTCATTTCCGAGGAGGAATTGGAGAATCTTGGCTGGCCTCTTGCTGGACTGGGGAGTTCCTGGGTGGGCCACGAGGCCACCTTCAAATTAGGATTTCTCTTTCTTTTTTTCCCCCTCCCCTTTTCTTTTTTTATCCTTTCCTAGGTCTATCTGTGCCTGTGCTGGGGCTTTAATTTCCATTTTCTGGTTTGGAAGCGTCCACATTAATGTCCTTTCTCCCCCTCCCTCTCTGGACGTGTCTCTTGGAATGTGTTGTGTGACTTCACTGTTGCTCCAGCAGCTCCCATGGAAACCATTGTGGTGCCCTTTCCAAAAGAATATCAGTTCCCAGCGAACTGGGAGTGACAGGAGGGGACAGTGAGCGGGGTTTGCTGTGATTTACTGGGAGTCAGGGAGGGAAAGGGAAGCAGATGATGGCAGAGTTCTGGTGTCTTATTTTGGAAGGCGTCCGATTTCTCGTAGCAGAGTGTGATCCAACGTGTCACTGCTGCTCTGATCCTGCCTGCACAGGCTGCTGGAGCCAAAGCCACTCGGATCCCTGTCCTGGGAAGCCTTTTACTGTGTCAGGCATTTGTTCCCGTTGCAGAGACAATGAGGTGCTAAATGCAGGCTTAATAAATCAGTCCAGGCTCATTTAGGACAGACTTGCCTGCTCTGTGTGTGCGTTGCAGTGAGGGGGAGAATTCAGCAGAAGGTTTTGTTGGTTAAAATCATGCATTAAAATGTCGAGGAGAAGGAGGAGGAGGGGACAAGAGAAGGCATGAGATGTGCTCTCCACTGCATCCCTGGGGGAGTCACAGAGGCTGGAGGCAGAGCTGATGCTGTGCTGGGCAGGGGCAGTGTCTCATAACCAGGGCCCTTCCACTGGTTCCCCAGAACTAAAAAAGGATCAAAATCTCTTTGTGCCAAGGAATGGAACAGATACAGGGGCACATTAGGGGCAGGGATTGCTTGTCACACATCTGTGCCTCCACCACCACGGTGTCCCAGCACCTTCACCAGCATGATCAGCTGGCTCTGCCCTGGAATCAGGGTTCAACAGATGTTCTTGTAACTCCCTTTTCCAGAGTTTTGTCCTCTTTTCCAATGGCTGTGGTAAGAAAGTTCCCTGGACAGGCTGCACCAGAAGCTGTGTGTAGGAATCCATGGGTTAAGCCATCCTTTAGGCTCACTCTGGTGTGCTGGAGGTTTCACAAGGGCACTTGCCTTGGCTTTGCCTTTCTGAACCATCTCTGCCCTTTGCCTGGCTGAGAAAGGAGAAATTCTGTTGATCACGGGCGTAAATTCTGGATTTTCCTCACCCTCTGCTTTCCCTTCCTTTGGCTTGCAACACTCCCCATGACTTTGTAGCAAAGACTCCAAGTTCTTGTATTCCCAGTGCAGTGGAATGGAACAAAGTGGCCCTGAGGCCTCGTGCCTGGGGGTGATGGGCAGGCTGGTCCTTCTCCCTCAGATCTCTCCCTTGATTTGGCTTTACAAACCCAGCCTCCAGCCCTGGTGACTGTTCTGCCCTCAGCTGCCCTCCAGGAGTCCTGTTGGTAGCCCTGGGGTTGCTCAGGGCTCCCAGCAGCAGAAATATGAGCAGAATTTGGCCCGGGGATCTTGGTTGAGTCATCCCATCCCTATTTACCCTTGATGGGTTTGGGTGTAACCTTCTAAAACTGGCCTTGGTGCAGGTCAGAGTTCCTTCAAAGGCAGGGAACAGCTCCATGTGCCTTCAGCTGTGCAGCTCCAGCCATTTAATTTGTAGAGGTGTGCTCCAATCCAGCCTGAATGAGGTTAAATTCACACCTGGCTTGGCTCCACTGGTTTTCAGTGGATTTACCCCACGCTGACGTAGGTGGCCCATCTGTTCCTCCTGCACTCCCCAGCAGCAGATCCTCCTTAGCACCACTCTGCTTGATAAGGGCAGCTGAAGAAGTCAGGAGATTAGATTTAGACCCTCCCCCTGATTTTTTTCCCCCAATTCCACAAGGTGAATGGGGCACGGCTAAATGGTCATTTTTAAGATGTTTTTTGGAAGCATTTTGCCCTCCACTTGCTGTGCACTCTTCAGCAAGGCCCAGATTTTCGGATGTTTGCATTATTTATCATAAATCAGTGCAGATTCTCATCAAACACACAGAATTGTCACTTTGGAGCAGCTCTGCAAAAAAATCACACGTTGATTTGGAGGAAAATTCCCTCCAGCCTTTGTTTGCAACATGAACATAAAAGACATCTGCAGAAGAGGAGCCCCTTGGGATTCACCCTCTTAGGGCAAGAAAATTTGGGGCTGAGCAGAGCCCTCTTAATTGGGTGCCTTGCAGCAGTTTCCAGTGGCTAATTGGGCATCATGCTGCCTTTCCAAGGAGTCACTGTGTCCTGTCCCATTGGATCTCCTCCTTCTGGATCACTGTTATTCCCGTCCTGACACCTCCCAGGCACGTTTTGCATCTCTCTGAGCGTGGAAATAACTCATCTTAATGAGAGCCAAGTGCATGTTGCCTTGGCAACACGGCATCACCGGGGTCTGCTGAGCCAGGAGAGGCATCTGATGGGGCTGGTGGCTTTGAACCGAGGTGCACAGGGGGAAATATCTGCTCTGGAGAGAGGGAGGTGTGGATGGGGTGGATGATTAGGGTGCAATCAGTGAGCAACGTGCCTCGGTTCCCCAGGTTAGAGGGGAAGTTGTCGCTGTTCCATGACCCAGTTTCTCCTGGGAAGGAGGCAGCCCATGGCCCAGGGAGGCAGATCCCACGTTCTGGAGAGCAGCTGCTGTTCCCTCTGCTCTGTGTCAGCTGTCAGGAGCCATGAGCTCTCCCTGGTGAGTCGGTGCCAAGCTGACAAATCAGCTCTGACTGGTAGCACAGCAGAGGGAGCGGGTGCAGGCTGGAGATGGCATCTGAGGAGAGCTCACGAGCATGGCATTGATAACTCTGCCCCTCCAGAAATCATCACCTTTTCCTCATGTGGAAAGGCTGGGCTTTGTTCTCCTCCTGGCCCCTCACAGCACAGAGGGGTGGCAGCAGCTTTGCTGCCTCACTTGGCCGGTGAAAAGCACCTCGTGCTTTATTTCCCACTGCAGGGCGACCCAAATATTGGGAATTTTTAGCCCTCACCTGCCTTTCTCCTTACCAGCTACCAGAGGAGGAAAATGCAGCGTGTCCAGTGCCTTCCTGCAAACAGCAGGGATGGATAAACTTCCTGGAATGGGGATAATTCCTGACTGCTCTCCCCCACTAAGGCAGAGGATGTGCTGTGACACAGAACCTTGGGGTTCTGACAGATGTTTTTCTCTCTCTGATGGTTTGATCAGACTCATCTCCACCTAGAGATGATCCAGGTGGCCCCAGGAATGCAGCCATGCCAGAGGCTCAGGCTCTCTCTGTTTTCCAGGACTTCTCCTACGATGACTCGAAGGTGGAGTTCAACGTGGATGCCCCAAATGGAGTGGTGATGGAAGGTTACCTCTTCAAGAGAGCCAGCAATGCTTTCAAAACATGGAATAGGTGAGCAAGAACCCATATTCCATTTGATATTTGGGCTGAGACTCTGCACAGGAACACACCTCTCTTTTAGTGAGCTCTGACTGATGTTACCATCACTAGAAGGATTCTGAGCCAAGTAGTTAAAAGCTGAGTAGTTAAAATAGTTCAGGTGAGGTTGGTTTGAGAGTTTCTGCAGTTTTAGTGCCTTCCACGATGGGAGAAGGAGGAGCAGGTTCCTTTCAGGTTCCTTTCCCAAGGCTTGCCCTGGGAAAGCTGCCCATTTATAACAAATAAGAGATACACCAGAACCCAGCAGGACGTGCCAGGAGTGTCAGACCTGCCTGTTTTGGGACAGGGACACATGTGAGAGTGGAAATATCAAGTGTGCAGCCAGGAGCTGAGAAATGGCTTTCAGTGCCCTGACCCTGCTCTTAATAATTTATCCATATTTCATCTGATAGCTCCCTGGGAATGCCTGGCTCATCTGCCTCCTGCACCAGCCAGGAGCCTCTGCAGCTGCCAGAGACCTTGGAAAGTGGAAGAAAAGGTTTCATGTTCTCCCCCTGCTCGATATTTCTATGTTTAGTTTCCCTCGAGACAGTCAGTGGGTTTCATAGACGGTTGTACTAAAGGATTCAAACCCTTCCAGTGGCTTTCTAATGCATGAGATCAATGCTGGTCTGACCTACATTTCCTCCTCTCACATAACAGGGAAATGATAGAATATTAAGAGATCTTTTTACTTGGCTGTGGGATACGTGCAGAGGATACTGGAATGTGCTGCTGTTAGGCTTTGGAATAAATAAGCAGTGAACAGTTTGTGGTATGCTCAGAAACTGCCTGTATTTGCATGGAAAAAAAAGACTTGGAATTATTAAAGATTTCTGAATTGGCTTGATAAGCAGCTCCTTCTCTTTGAAGCTTCCCTGAGTGCTGAGGAGATTCCAGGCAAATTTAGGGTAATTTCTTAGCCCTCAGGTTCTTTGGTCCCCCGACAGTCAAGGACTAAGTTTGCACTTGGAGGAACCAGTGCAGCAGTGTTTGAGTTCAGTGCTCTGGGAAGGTGCCTTAGCTGAATTTTTATCACCTTTTTAGGATTCCCTGCTTGGTGTGTCCTGAGCAGAGTCCAGCCTTGGTCCATAGTGTGGCTGCTTTCTGACCCCATGCGAATGTTGTTCCAAAGCCTGCCAGGTTAATGCCAAGACCTGTGCTTGGCTTTTGGGATGGAGAAAAACAATTCCAGGCAACTCCCTTCTCCTTGCAGCTCCCCTGGCTGTGAATTCATGGGTCACTCCAAAGGGCACTCACCCTGGAGGGAAAATGCCCCTCTGGAACTTTGTTTTTCCCGATATCTGAACTAACGTCGGCGTCAAGGGCTCCAAGTTTTCCGTGCCCCCAAATCCCAGTTATCCTCCTACACCCCAGTCACACAGAGGCAGCAGCCTCCCCACAGCTATATCCATCTCTTCAATCCCACCCACCCTGAGCCAGTTCTGCCCACAGCTCAGCTATTCCCAGCTCCTGGAGCCCACTCGTCACCTCCTCGCTGAGCTCAGCCCCTCTGGCAGAGCCTCCCCCTCACGGGAGCAGCAAAATCCTCATGGAATCCCAGAATATCCTGAGCTGGAATGGACCCACAAGGATCACTCTGAGGAGCTGAGCAGAGCCTGCAGCTGTCACAGCAGCCCAGAGTGCTCCCAGATGGATGGGATGGCCTCCAGTCACCTGCATTTTCCCATTTCTCCACCAAAAGTCCTTTTGGTCTCTTTTTATCAGTTTAATATTTCAGCCGTGACAAAAGAAAGGGAATCCTGTCTCATCTCATTTTCCCCTCATTCTTTTGCCAGCTGAGTGTGTCATACATGCTCTCAGTAACCCCCTGCTGCAACCCTCGGATTCTTTTCTGCTCAGGTGTTCCAGAACCTTCTTCCTGAAAACTTCGTGGTGGTCGTGGCTTCCTTTACCCTCCACGAAGGTGATCAGGTTGCTAAATAAATTATCCTCCTTTTAAATGGAGATATAAATGGAAATATCCTGCTCTGCCACAAGCTGCCTCTCTGTAGCTCTGCAGTTTGCCTGTCCTGATTGTCTGTCTGTCTGTCTGTCTGTCTTCCCTCAGGAGGTGGTTCTCCATCCAGAACAGCCAGCTGGTGTACCAGAAAAAGCTAAAGGTCAGTGAGGCTGCCCCAGAGATGACCCCAGAGGATTGGCCAACTGCTCTGGTGTCCTGCTTTGCTGGGGACTCCTGCTCCATGGCGGGGAGAGGGGTGGAGGGATCAGAGGGACAGCAAGCCCATTACTGTGCTCCAAGGTTTAAACTGTTCTGAGAGTGAAGTGTCAGCACATGGTGTTTGTTAAATAAATGTTTATTTAGATTAAACATTCCTGTTCAGCTGAGGAAGTTGGTGGGATCCCCAGCAAACTTGTGTTGCCCCGTGCTTTAATTCCATATAACCCCTTCCCACAGCCCTGGAGTGCTGGGATGGGCTGGCTCTGCCCTCTCTGCACCATGTGCCAACAGCAGGGTTTGGGAAGGAGTTTTCTGGGCTGTGACACGGATTCAGGAGCCCTGAAGGCCCCTGTTCTCCCCCTTCCAGGATGTGCTCACGGTGGTGGTGGAGGACCTGCGGCTCTGCACCGTCAAGCCCTGTGAAGACATAGAGAGGAGGTTCTGCTTTGAGGTGGTCTCACCTACCAAGTGAGTCTGGTGGCTTCCCCAGGCCGTCCTCGTGGGAGCTGGGCTGTGCATGGAGCTGCAAGAGATGGGATTGGAGCAGGATTGATACCCTGGACTGTTGAATTGTGGCTGGGAGGTGCCACTGCCTGTGCTCCGGGGTCCCTGGGAAGTTTGTCAGACACCAGCATAAGCTGAATCCAGGCTGATACATTACATAAGCCAAATTATGTGTTATATATTATATATTATACCTAATATACATCTAGACAGTGCAGCTGTCAGTGTTTGAAGAGGGAACAGCCCTGACAGTGCAAACTTGTAGGAGTAATTTTCGCCCCTTTGCTGCCCACGCTGGGATGTCTGGGTGGGATGTCTGAGGAAGAAGGGGAACAGTCTTGACCAAAATGTCCTTTTGCTCTTCCCAACTGCTTCCCTGCCTTTCCAGGAGCTGCATGCTGCAGGCTGACTCGGAGAAGCTGCGCCAGGCCTGGATCCAGGCAGTGCAGGCCAGCATTGCCTCTGCCTACCGGGAGAGTCCGGACAGCTACTACATCGAGGTGAGGGAGGAAACATCCCTCATTTCCCCCTTCCCTTCTGGAATTAGCACCAGTTTATTCTTCTCCTGTCAGTGCCTCTGCTGGGCAAAGCCTGGTTCATTGCACAGAGCTTTGCAGAGTCCTTGAACCCCGTGCAGCGCTACAGGCTGGGACAGAGGGGCTGGAGAGCAGCCAGACAGAGAGGGAGCTGGGAGTGTGGATGGACAGGAAGCTGAACATGAGCCAGAGTGTGCCCAGGTGGCCAAGAAGGCCAATGGATCCTGGCTTGGATCAGGAACAGTGTGGCCAACAGGTCCAAGGAAGTGATTCTTCCCCTGGACTCAGCGCTGGTGAGGCCACCCCTGGAGTGCTGTGTCCAGTTCTGGGCCCCTCAGTTCAGGAAGGACATGGAGGGGCTGGAGCAGGTCCAGAGAAGAGCAACAAGGCTGGGGAAGGGACTGGAGCACAAGTCCTATGAGGAGAGGCTGAGGGAGCTGGGGCTGTTCAGCCTGGAGAAGAGGAGGCTCAGGGGAGACCTCCTCACTCTCTGCAACTCCCTGACAGGAGGGGGGAGCCAGGGGGGGGTTGGTCTCTTTTCCCAGGCAACTCTCAGCAAGACAAGAGGGCTCAGGGTCTTCAGCTGTGCCAGGGGAGGTTTAGGTTGGATATTAGGAAGAATTTCTTTGCAGAGAGGGTGATCAGCCATTGGAATGGGCTGCCCAGGGAAGTGGTGGATTCTCCATCCCTGGAGGTTTTTAAGATGAGACTGGATGTGGCATCAGTGCCATGGGCTGGGAATCACAGCAGTGATCAAGGGTTGGACTTGATGATCTCGGAGGTCCCTTCCAACCCAGCTGATTCTGTGATTCTATGATTCCTTTTTCCCTGCAGAGACTGGACCGAACTGCCTCCCCCTCCACGAGCAGCATCGACTCCGCCACCGACTCGCGGGAGCGCAGTGGGAAAGGGGAAACCATCCTGCAGAGAGTGCAGAGCATCCCTGGCAACGACCAGTGCTGTGACTGTGGGCAGCCAGACCCTCGCTGGGCCAGTATCAACCTGGGCATTCTGCTGTGCATCGAGTGCTCGGGGATCCACAGGTACTGTGTGTGTGTGTGAGCTCTGGGTGAGCCAGGCATGGATTGCAGGCTCCTGGGGAAAAGGATGGAGCTGGAATTACCACTGACTAAAATGCTTGTGCAGATAAATTCAAACATAATTGCTTGCTGAGGTGCCTGTGTGTGCAGGTACATCTGTGTTGGCATGTGCACAACACTCTGCATCTGTGTAGAAGATAAATAAGAACTGGACCAGTTTTGCTCATCTGAACATGCGTGAGAAGTTCTGTTTTGAGGCCTGTAACCACTTTGGTTTTCTTCCTCTTGGATGAACAGGAGCCTGGGTGTTCACTGCTCCAAGGTCAGATCCCTCACGCTGGATTCCTGGGAGCCAGAGTTACTCAAAGTGAGTGTTGGAATTTAACAGCAAGAGATGGATGAATGGTGGGCATGGAGGGAGGGTTGTTTGGTGGCAGGACAGACTAGAAGGAAGGTAACTCCTCACCTGGGGATTTAATTCATTCCCTGTTGAATTGCAGCTGATGTGTGAGCTGGGGAACAGCACCATGAATCAGATTTACGAGGCACAGTGTGAAGAGCTGGGACTCAAGAAACCAACAGCAGGGAGCTCCAGGTGAGTCTGGGGGCACACACTGTCCTGTGGGAAGCCACCCACCCACCCACCCACCCATCCACCCATCCACCCACCCATCCACCCATCCACCCACCCATCCACCCATCCACCCAGCCACCCATCCACCCACCCACCCACCCATCCACCCACCCACCCATCCACCCCTCCACCCACCCCTCCATCCACCCACCCCTCCATCCACCCACCCCTCC